CGGAGCTCACGGCGTCAACGCTGGGAAAGGCACGCGAGGCAGGTGACTATTGCTGCAGAGCATGAAGACACTCCCAAAACACTCTTTGATTCCTGAGGCTGCTGCCTCTTCGTTTAGAGCGCACATCATGTCACACAACCTGATGTGCACCACGAATTTTCGAGAGGAAGAGATGATGTCTATAGTTGCCCATCAGTTTGTCTAGTTCCGAAAGGTTTCATGTAATAACACGTGACACTGTTACATACTACCGTCTTTCTTTAGCTGCGTGATGCTCTTATATAAGCGGATTTATTGTAACTGCATGATAAGGTGCTCTTGGTTATGATCGCTGCACCAAGCACACGTAATGTGTGAGCAAGGCATGCGTGTCCTACTCTAGCCATCCTTTTCCGTAATAAAAATAATTAAAATTTCCGCGACGACTCGCTAACTAGCCCGCAAGTGCGTTTCAACCACGATTAACAAATGCTTCAGTAGCTCGTGTACGCACTTGATGGTCAGACGCGGTGGATCAGTGACGACTGTGTTCGGCGGTTGGCCCGAAGGACGCGGGATCGATCTTGGTCGCGTCGGTTGCATTTCGATGGGGGCCGAAATAGTGGAGGTGTGTGTAAGATGCTGTTATGAGTGCACGGTGAAGAGCACTGTAGATGGTGGAAATTTCCAGAGGTCTGCTCTACATGGCGCGCTTCATGATCTGATTTTTGGCACGTCGAACCCCAGATGGAAAATAGTTATTTGCTAAAAGAGATGGTGTAAAAGGAGATTATTGTTTCTAGGTCAGTAGTGGGCCTATGCAAGGGCTCCGCTATGATAACTCCCAATAACTAATCAAACACGCGGTTTTTCAGCGCGTCGGTATCAATTCTTGTGTTTTATGAACGCAAATGCGAGCACTGCATGTTGTAACAACATTTTGTGTTGCGTATTTTTTTCCTGCTCCAATTACTATAGTTCGTTTTGTTGCTATATTTAAAGTTACGATGAATTATGTTTTCAAAAGCCACTTGTGATTGAATTAAATTAAGTCATTTAGTTCAACCAGTTACAAAAGCTCCCTTAGCGATGTCACCATCTCCGATTAGCAAGTCCTATGAATTAACTTATCGCGTGGCTACGAAAAAGATCTAAAGTCATCAATGGTTATTGGCATAAGCCGTCCCCGCGGCGGCTCTTGGTTTTCATTTAATTAAGCGCACGCTTCTTTTTAGAGGCGTCATTATGAAAGCACCAAGGTTTGAACCGTTGTCCATATACTTCGTTTTTTCATAGACTACCCGCACTATGCAATAACGGCCCGAGCGACTCAATTTGTTGCTGTCCATGCCAACTAGGATATCAGCTGGCTTACTTCACTCTCCTGTCTACACTAGTGACGTCTTAGTGTATTTACAGAACTTGACGCATATCATCTTTCGCTCTATCACTCGGTGTGCTATCGCTGAAGCATCGTCTATAAAGCTGCATTCACTCGATGGAATTTGGACGATGGGTTGTTGTGTAACAAGAAACAATGAGCGTAGGCGTTTCTGAAGGCCTTACACAAGGAATATTCCCAGCCAACCATTTCAAAAAAAAAAGTCCTGCTTACGGGCCTGACTGGATGGAGCACTTAGGCTAGCCGGAAGTCGCAATTTTTTTTTCTAGGCTGCCCTAGATAATAGGCCAGCTAAATAGCCGCCTTCTCCAGAAAATTCTAGGGTCCTCGCCTACTGTCTTATTTTATCACATGAGCGAATTTAAAAATGTGACTTTCGGTTGAATTATGTATGTAAACACTTCACTCGCTAATTAAACAACAAAATCTTTAACGAGTCGTGAACTAGCCATATCGGCTACAGATTCGGGTGCTTCCACGGAATTTCTGTAAATCATATTATTGAAAATAACTTTCTTCTCGTTCTACTTCCACCCGGTCTTCAACACGAGCAGCTTTGTGGACGCTGTCGCAGTTTGTTCAGACAATCAGACTAAATGAAATACCAGCGACTCTTTAAAAACAGTGTTCATCTGTGATACGTGGACGGTGCTGGAGTCGTCGCCTTGTTTTGTTTTGCACCGGGTAGCCCCACAGAGGCTACTTCTGGTTGACCTCCCCGCATTTTCTTTTTTTTTTCATCTCCAGATGGATGACAGCAGACACGTCCTAACTTACGGTGAACACGTTTCATGGCTCTACACGCAGGTCACCCGGGGCACACTTCAATTTTGAAATCTGTCGCTGGCCATAGGAGGCAGCCGTCGCCTGTCGAGCAGTCGGTGGCAGCGGCAGTCGGGGAAGCCACCCTGCGAGGTCTCGCTGAACGAAGCGGCCCTGGCTATCAAGCTTGCTCCGCTACCGGTCGCTCAGGGCGCGGCGGCGCCAAGTGCAGGTGGCGCCAGAGACTGGGCGTGCTCGCCCACACACCTGCAGGTGCCTTGGTGCTAGAAGCGAAACTGGGTCGGCAAGCCTGGCCTGACGCAGGGGATAATTTGCGAAAATGTTTTCTTATAAGATACTATTTCAGCGCGTTCATAAATGACGTTTGATTGCGAACGCTCGTGTTGTGTTTATTCATGAAGCCATTTCAATGCTTTCGTCGTGTACAGCTCCAGTATGGTCTGGTGTTAAAGCATTTAGCGGCGAGCTTGATGTGCACGCTATATTGGTTTACAGTTTAACTATGTGTAACTGAGATTTCCCCTTTCTATGAAGTATGGGACCTACACTACAGCTAATGCGAAGAGGCGACACAAAATTAACGAATGGGAAGGGTTTAGTGGATTACACCACAGCATTTGACTCCAGCCAATACTAGAGCCCTTCTCGAAAGAAAGCGTAGATTTCAGATAATGGTGCTTCAAGGTTATAGAAAGGCTCACAGGAGGGACCAGGGAGAGTGATTTTTTTTTCTTTTCAACTAAAACACCTGGCGAGTCCTGGCGACGCTGGCATTCGAACACAGACGTACTTCCGGCATCGGAGGACGACGTACAAAGCGCCACTGGTATCGCTGAGCTGCTTTACCCTTCCCTACTCCGCGGAAAGACGTCGGTCTTTAAAGAAAGTTTCACGCTTGTGCAGTTCATCAGACATGAAAACAAAATTTCTTTATCGAAATGGCACGACACGCACACAATCCGTACACTATAGGCTCGTATGTGAAAGCCTCGATGGTCTACCACTGCGGTTGAGGTGACTGTGGATACATAAACTTTTTCTAGCACGTGAAGAAAACTAACTGAACAGTAGCCACTGATAGTGGCAAAATAAACGACATCTTTTGAAGCGCGAGGCGGACCGTTTTCTTTTATTCAATCTGTACGGCGGTGGTACAGTCATACGGGATGTTTGTGCTTTCGTCTCGAAGCGCGCGGCATGCACGAATTCCGTACACTAGCCTCGTATGTGTAAAAATCAATGGTCTACCACAATTGGAAGCTTTATAGGAGCGGAGCTCCTTTGGCCCGCATTCCGCTGTCGCCGTCGAAGCTCCCAGCAAGCGCGCCGAGCAAAACAACAGGTGCGCGCTCCCGGCGACAGATGGCTCTCGCCGCGGCACGCATGCCGCGCACTCACTTGCGGTGTCCTCGCCATACAGTTTCCCACAATACTTACTAGAGGGAACTCTGGCGCTAGTGTCTATGGGAGTCGCAACACACGGCGCTTCAGCGAGCACGGGACTGATGGGTAGCACACACACATTTGACCAATTTTCGTACTTCTGGCCTGCTTCCGGCTCCGTGTGTGTTCGTGTGGCGTGGAGCTGTTTTTTTCACGAAAACATAAATTAGCAAATATTCACCGTTTGCGCTTCACAACCTTTATTCTTTTAAGCTTACTATTTTGAATCGAGTCCCTAAGTTCAAAAGGGTTCGTTCTTTTCTTTCAAAACAAAACCGTAACCAGTATTAAACGAAGCCGCAAGTACGATTCGCCGCCCGCAAGTACGAAGACTAGGCAAACGTGTGTACTACCCATCAATCCCATGGTCGCTGAACGATGGCAGCGCCAGAGTGCCCTCTATAGTTAATTTTGAGAAACTCTATGGTCCTCGCCACCAAGCGGAACAAAAGTTCTCCCCGCCTTACTGTCGTCAGGAAACCAGAGGCGTGATGCAGGCGCATGTTCATTTGCGTCCCATTTCTAAGGAGCTTCGTTCATCGGTTGAATTAGTAGATAGAACCACAAGTTTGTTTGTTTTTTGTTTTTAAATGCACTCTGAAAATCGTTGTCAACCTTTTCAAGCGACCAATGGCCGATCCTGATAGCTTTGTACCTGACGTCGATTGCGATTACATATATGCGATCCGGATCTTGCTTGGGAAGGTTTTGTGTATACGGGGCCTCTTCCCAGACGACGATTGAAAAAGTAATACACCTCTCAAAAAAGGCCGAAAAATGTGCACTGTAAAAAAAGGTTAAAAACTGAGTTGCACCATCCGTTCATACAGTTTTCCTCAATGGCAGCATTCATACGTGATTCTAGCACGATTCAAGCGTTGTACATTTTAGCTGTTGAGATTTGTAATCGCAGGAAATAAGAGCTCATAGATTTGGCAGTGCAAATAAATGAGAAAGAGAAAGAACAATTACGAACGCTTTTGATTTTTTTTTGCAGATTTTTACATATTTTGGTTCATCAAACTTTTTTGCCCTTTTCACCGTTTTTTAAGGAACATTATTATTGTTCTTATCTGATCTCTTCCTCTTTGAGCAAGTGTTGTATAAAAGATATTTACATTATAAGGTGCAGTGTGGCCAATCCCCCTTGTGGGTATGGGCCAAGATCTTCTAGGCGACAAGACAGAACAAGATTTCGCTGTTCGCGCTGTCAAGTTTTCATAATCGTCCTACGCCAACTAGCCCGCCTATGTATACCATTCGGCAAGCCAAGGCCTGTAAGATAAGCCGAAATAATTTGCCCATGCAGGCACTGAACACTAATTGCGCGTTCTCCATTTTTAAAGATAGGCCTTCTTTTGTTTGCACCGTTAGATTCCGTAAAGAACACCTATTCGCGCTGTTTCTTTAGTTTTATTATTGTTCACTGGATGAACACAGCGTCGGAAGTGATGCCCTTCCAGAAGACGTACGAGGACTGCACCACGGTGGCACTGAAAAAACGAGATTTTAAGATATTCATTAGCACAACGAGTTGAAAGATAGTTTTTTTGTTGTTTTTTCACTTCCTTCTGTTTTATCCATGTACAGATGATAGCTGCACTGGAATCGCACCCCTTCTCCTGAAAAGCGAATCGGCCTGCTAAGGACCCCAAGGTGCTATAGAGGTTGTCTGAACAGTGGCTAACACCCACAACGGAAATTCGCCCGGAATCGAGAGGTTTTATACATAGTTCCGAAAATTGCAGTGGACAGCATTTCGTCTTCTTAATCCACAAGTGATCGTTCAAAACCGATACCGTAGGATTGTTGAAATAGTGTGCGCTAATCAACACATAATTCACTTTGACTATGTTCGTCAATAGTTCCTCGCCATTGTTGGCGCCTTACTTTACAAAGGATTAGTCGGTGCCATCGAATGACCGCGTGACTGACCGCTATTCCGACCCCTAACTTTGCGGAAGACGGTGTTTTTTAAAGAAAATCTGTTTATTTTGTTAAGAAAATAAAAAGTAACGTTTATTCCGCTATTAGTTTGGGCCTTGCTTTCTCACTAGCACCTAGGTTCTGTAGGCTCGAAAAAATGATCTAGTGGGGTGCGCTGGTATTTCGGTTGAGCTAGTAAACACACCTATTTAACCAGGATCTCTCACCTGAAATACACCTGTCCGGTGTATCCGGCCGGGGCAGTCCAGGTGACCACGACCTGTGTCTTATCGTCCCTGCTGTTGTGAGTGATGGCGTTCTACGGGAAAACAACAGGAACGTTTATTGGGCGATTGTCCGATCAGACAAGGTTGCTGCATAGTCCACCTGAACAGATCGTCTGCCTATAGAGATACGACATTTTAATCAATTTTATTAGTAGTATAGCGATATCTTATAAAGAATAAATTAATATTAAGCACGTTCAGTAGCTTGAGTAAAACTGATGATGGCCTCGAAGACATCTCCGGGGATAAAAACCGAAAACGAGATCTTCATTTCATGCATGGTTAAGGCAATGAATGAGTCTCGTTAGAAAAATTATCGATAAGCTGCTGGTGTAGTGCACGAAATCGCTCACCGCGGCTCCTCCGGGGCAGTCCAGAGTCTTCGTCTGTGCGTCGGGCGTAAAGGTTCCCTGCAGCAGCTCGCTGGTGTTCACATCGCGGGCCGTCAGAATGACACCTTTGAACGGCGTGCTACCGTACACTTGCACTGAAATAGAGGAAAGCGACTGATTTCTCCCTAATATCGGTGCCTCCGGATAATGATAACGCGGTTAATGATAACATAATGATAACGCCGGTTCGTCTCAGCTGTGTCAGCAGTTCCAGATCACCTTACGGCAAGTACGGCGACGCCACACCACGGCGATTGGCCCCGAGCTGATTTAGTCGGCAATGCCTGCGTTGGCCACCATTATTCTATTACGTTAGCAAACGCATACAAACAACTCTCGCACCGAAAATTTTCTCCGATCAGGGCATGCGAAGCAACTAAACGGTACGATATTACGGGTACTTCTGAAGAAAGGTAAACTTAGACGCAAGGGCGAAGTAGTGAATGCGATAGCAACAAATTGTAATGTCAATATGTAGTAAGTCTAGCAGATTACTCATTTAGGACCCGGTCTCTTGTAACTACAAAATGATGGCTTAATGAAACAGGGCCACTCAAGCCAGCGAAGCAATTCTGCGCACTCTGTCACTTCAAAATGGGGTGGTGAGAGTACAAGAGAGACAGACGTCTAGTTCTGGACTTTCGAGAAAGCGCGCGCCACGACACCCGTTTGACAAAAGTTCGAAGTTGCAACACAGGAGACGCAGCTCTTCCCACCTCCCCTCACCACAGCGCCTTCGTGCTCCTATACGAATCCGATCGGCGGGTTTTAGCTCTGCTTGAGCTCAGCCTATCAGTAGGCTTCGTAAACTTTCGCTTGCACACAGAACGTGCGACACGCCGGGCTATGCTACCTAATTGGAAAGTGAAGATTCCTTATAATCAATCGAAGTATAGATTCAATATCCTGTAGTTCAAAAGGAAGGGCTGACGAAAAGGTAACTGAATGCCTGAGAATGAACCCATACCAGTCCAGAATAAGGTATTGCACAACACTCGGCCTGTCTATGTAAAGTGACACACGAGTATATTAAAAACATAGACTCGCTCTCTGGATTTCGTGCCGACCGGTTGTGGCCCCACGATCTCCGACGACAGCGCAGCTCTGGCCGACTGAGCTCGCCCTACGCCATCTCCTGACGCCGACAAGAGCTCTCGCTGAGCGGTGTCCCGTTTTCAGACTCGTGTGACCGTGTCCATCTTTCCTATATCCTTTTTACTTCCGCCGTTTTCTATCGTTCGTTGTCCCTGCGCCTCCCTCTCTCCTTCCTCCCTCTCTATTTCTTTATCTTTTAATACTATCATTTTATTCCCTTCTCTACCCCCGTCTCTCGTGAGCTACTGTTGAGGCGTCGTCCCCCTGAGAGACAGTTACGGGGCTCACTTTTCTCTTTTTTTTTTTCATTCAAAATCACTCACACATAGTAGAAACACAACACCTAACACGGAACGTGACTATAGAGTGTTAACTCCTGCCGCCATAAAAGGCGCGTCCTACTCACCAGTGACGCGCCCACCCTGGTTAATATTGGCGGGCGTAGCCTGGATGGCGTACGGGGACTGGGTAGCTTGCGGTTCCGCTCCGCCGTGCTTGGGCAGTTCGCTGTTGCACGCGCCGACAGGTGCGCCCGATTTGTAGGCCCTCACGGTAGTGGGAAGCAGGCAGGCCACCACGACGAGGCAAGACACGACCGCAGAATGCATTGTCCCTGGTCTCTCCTTCTCGTCAATTCACGAAGAACCCTGCTGAAGGAGAAAGAACATAGACAGATCTTTCAGAGGTCGATCAAGGAGGATTTTAAAAATATGCTGGAGTGGAATCTCCTGCAATGCCTCGCCAGCAGAAGTGAAGCCAGCTTTTGCCACTGCCAAGATGGCGGAAACGTGCTCTTTTCTGGTATTGCCCACTTAAAATCAGATGGCTTTGACATGTTTATGTAAAGGTTACGTTAGTTCTGTATTAAAAGAGGATTATCCCCGACGAAATAATACACAGAAACGAGTATGGGTGACTGAATCTCCAAAACACTTTGCCTACAGTTAGAGGCTTATTGAAGATAATTCGTAACACTAAGACGCGCTTAAAGCCCTGTGCCACCCGAAAAAGTTTCCACATTACACTCCTTGAGCATGCGAAAGATACGCTCCATTCTTAATCGCTGAACGGTGATACTTTATCACGCCCCTAGTAAGATGGCCGCCACAACCACCATCTTGCCAGGCTTCACTCCTAGGCAACGATTTCCACTCCAGCATTTTTTTTTCCCCACCTTGGGGTCGATCGACCAACCTAGATGTAAGCAGCTTGTAAATCAATGCGCAGATTCAGACACGTCTTTAACAGACTGTACAGGATAACCACAGTGGTGTGCACGCTGGCATATACAAGACGACACTGAAAACAGCAGCACTGGCGCACTTGTCTGTTCTAATCAAACCAAAGAGATGACTGAGCAGACCTTTCATCTTTGCGTCACTGGACAAGTAATCACGTGCCGTCAGTCCATTGATGTATCGTTGATATAAAACCAATCTTCTTGACAACGGCCATTACTTTCACGGTCGGCTTCACCTGGTTTCGCGGGATCTATATACTCTACTATAAATCTGACGATGTAACTACTATCGGTGTGCATCGAAACGCGAACAGAGGCAGGCATTCGCAATGGTGAGTGCGCGCCGTCCAGTCGTCACTATGAACATGCGAGCACAAGCGCAGTTACACCAAACACCCGATGTGCGCACCTCTCAATCGTGATCACTGCAGGGCAAAACCATTGCAAATGCTTCCCGCTCTTCGCGTTTGATTTTACGTCCGCAGTAGACCGCTGACTTAGCAGAAACGAGAGCGAACTCGGAATCTCTGGTATACGACAAATACAATGCTCGACGTATCATCTGAAGATATTGCAGAACTCTTGTGCCGGTAAATAATAAATAAATAAATAAACAAATAACAACATAACAACAGCATTATTAATATCTGGGATTTGCAGTGCCAAAACCACGGTATCTGAAGCACGCCGTATTGAACGACTCCGGAAATTCCGTCCACTTGGGGTTCTGCGCATCGGAAGGCGACCACCGCGGCAGGATTTGGAAGCGCGACTTTCGGGTCAGAAGCTGTGCACTGTAACGTTTGCACCACCAGCGCGGTTCGATAACAATAAACCCAACACGTGCGCGGCAACTCGAAAAGAAATGCTATCTGGTCGATCGCTAGAACTGTTCGACGCGACAGCCCTGCTTGTACGTCATACGTGTGCCTTCGTGACGAACGTTCCGCAAGCCAAGTGTTATCGGCAAGTTCTATTACTGGTTAGCTTCAAACACGAACGACCCCATTCCATTTCTTTCTCTCTCTTTAACGTTTTCTTGGTAGGCTTAACCAAGAAACAGATCGCTAGCCTCCAGTACACTAAATAGCATACTCATCACTTGGTAGGTCTTAATTTACTATTAACGCATTCGTCCTTAATGAAGTTTGCAACCTTCGCAACGTCCGTCTCTTCTCGTTCGGGAGTGTCCGATTTGTATCTCCACCTCAGCACAAGCGCTTCTTAATGGTTGGGGCGCCCTACATCACGCCGGAAACGGAGCTCGGGGACAATCGGCTACGCGGTGCGCATGCATTACTAGTTCGATGCTCGGTTCATTACGACTGCGTCTGATGCGAATAGAGGCCATCGAACGACCATCAAGATTTCTTTACCGTCTTGATCACCTGGTACGCTGATCCGACCACAAACTCTCGGCGAGGCAAGTCGAGAGTTCCTAACATTATATAGGAAGTTACTCCCACATGTCATATCTTGTGACGGGGAGTCTTAGTGCCGGGGACCTTAAGCCACTTACGTACGTATGCTATTGAGTTCCTTTTTACTCACAGTCGCATCCTGGGGAGTACGTAGGAATGCAGGGGCTTACGTACTCGAGTGCTTTAGGGCACTAGAACTAAAGATTTCGAATATATATATATATATATATATATATATATATATATATATATATATATATTTAGTGCTGGGTCTCTAGAAGGCTTGGATACGCACGCCATCATCGAATACCCATAGGGCACGCCTAGGTGTGAAAAGGAACACGAAAGCGCTCGTACGAAATTGGCTTAAGGTTCCCGGCACTAAAGAATACCAATTCACAGTCGGCCCCAGGGTTGTCGCTGAATGGAATTGCAACGGCGCCAGAATTCAAGCCAATTAATCGTAGCCTATTGTAGCCAAGGTAGCCATGTCATTGAATATTATCGCGCAATTTGTAACAAAATAGAACAGGAATGATATGAACGGAGTCTTTAGTATTGATAAAATGAATAAAACCCTTTTGAATAAGCAAAACGAGGAATTTCAAAAAGTTAGTCAGTGAATAGCCACGACGCGAACAGGACATCTTAGTCGCCAAACAGGTCGAAAAGAGCCATCGCTGGAAACCCTGCTCGGCCCCAAGCTATTTTAGTATAGTCCCTATAATCGTCATAGAATAGAATTTTAGTCAGCAAGACCTGCGCTCAGTCTTGCTGACTACGTCAATTTTGTGAAGTCATCATATTGTCACTATGCCTTCATCGTGATATGAAGTATAGTGATGATGTCATCGCTTTACTCATCACTGGTGATGTCAGCTACGGAGCAGAAACCTGGATACTTACAAACAGGGTTCAGCTTAAATTGAGGACGACGTAGCGAGCGATGGAAAGAGAAATGGTAGGTGTAACCTTAAGAGACAAGAAGAGAGCAGAGTGGATTAGGGAACAAGCGGGGGTTAAGGATATCATAGTTGAAACCGAGAAGAGGAAATGGACATGGGCCGGGCATGTAGCGCGTAGCCAGGATAACGGCTGGTCATTAAGGGTAACTAACTAGATTCCCAGAGAAGGCAAGCGGGTCAGGGAGAGACAGATGGTCAGGTGGGCAGATAAGATTAGTAAGTTTGCGGGTATAAATTGGCAGCAGCAAGCACAGGACAGGGTTAACTGGCGGAACATGGGAGAGGCCTTTGACCTGTAGTGGACGTAGTCAGGCTGATGATGATAATGATGATGATGATCTCATCGCATGGTGTTGTCGCGTCTTGAAAGTCGGGACATCACGGAGGCATTGCGAAACCAGGCAAGGTGCAGAAAGCTTGCTGCGCCTCTGATGTTGGAAGCAGTGCGAAAAACGCGCTAGGCCAGAAAGGAAAAAAAAAAAGAACAAGGAAATAGCTTTCGCCTTCGCGTCGTCTTCATCAAGCGCGTTAGAGACACTGCGATTCCACGGCGTTTTCAGATTTCTTAGCATGCTAGCCTGTAAAGCGAGCGCGTTCAAAACGATCGTTTAGGTGATCGATAACAGGGGCTGTATGCGGACGTCGAACCCATGCAGCGCACTTGTCTCGATCATTGGGGTCATGGCGACGTCGCCTGCGTGCGTCTAGCCTCGCCGGGTCCATGACTCCATCGCATAATCACGGCGCTGCCGCGCTTGCAGGCGCACGTACCGCAGCCCAAGTAACGGACGATCTCGACGAAAGGACACGTTGTATATTTATTCCGGCAGCAACTGCTCCGTCGACGTCTCTGGAACGACTCGATCGGCGATGTATCGGTGTCATCTCGTTGTGCACAGTCTAGCACCGCCATTATATACAGCGAAGATCTCTCGGTTGGAAGCCGCGTCGCGATGAGCTCACCGGAGAAAACGAGCGCCCAGTGTTTCGACACTGCATCTCGCGCCAGTCCCGATTTGCGAGAAGCAGAACAGGCTGTCCCTGCTTCGCAAAAAGGGGACAGACGCGTCACCGACCGTTTGGCGATATATCGCTTTATCTTCTTCTTTTGTTTAGATGCGTTGCTGCGGTAAACGGCACAAAGGGCTTTGCGCATGCGTTTCGTATGAACGCAGTAGACATGCTTATTGATAATGCTGGTTTGACGTGTCATTATTGCACGCGGCGGAAAGAGAAAAAGCACGGAAGAGAGTAGAACGACAAAGCCACCTTCTCGAAGAATTAGCACCGACAAAACCGAACGCCAGGATGTGGTATTCAACGCCCCCTCCCCCCCTTTTTTTTCTCATTAGAAAAACCCGAGAGTGCCCGGTGTCACTGTTAATGAAAACTAGTACTTTATGACTAAACAACGTACCAATCACACACAAATAAGACGCAAGCACAAGGGCTGGCTGTTGGCGCCATGCATCACTTGAACCTGTTCGATGTGCGCGCCCCGCCGCGGTGGTCTAGTGGCTAAGGTACTCGGCTGCTGACCCGCAGGTCGCGGGATCGAATCCCGGCTGCGGCGGCTGCATTTCCGATGGAGGCGGATATGTTGTAGGCCCGTGTGCTCAGATTTGGGTGCACGTTAAGGAACCCAAGGTGGTCGAAATTCCCGGAGCCCTCCTCTACGGCGTCTCTCATAATCATATGGTAGTTTTGGGACGTTAAACCTCACATATCATCATGTTCGATGGGCGCATGATTTCGTACTTTGCGCGCTTTTTCATCAAATATCACGGCTCACCAACTAACCGTTCGCTATAAGTAATAAGCAAAATCAGCTCCTCCCACGTTTAAGAAGGACACTCCGTACACTGGATTCGTGCATGCAAACAAGTGAAGCATGATAAGAACTTGTTCTTGGGCGAATTGGTGTTTACATAACACGATAATTTTAGCGCTACAGAAGACGACGTACACATATGAGAAACTAGGAGCTACTAACAACCGACTTACTGCAAAGGTTGCAATGAAAT